AGACTGTTTATTGCAGCTCGATTTACAATTGCCAAAATCTAGAAACAGCCTAATGCCCACCAACCCAGGAATGGATTAACAAGTTGTGGTATATGTATACCATGGAGTAATATTCGGTCACTAAAAAAGGTGGATACTTTATATATTTTGTATTAACCTGGATGGAGGTGGAACACATTCTTCTTAGTAAAGCAAGAATAGCTTTACTTCTCCAATGTACTCAATTCTAATGTGAAGGCAGTAGATGATTTAATACAAAGTAGGGGATAGGGGAATAAGGGAGCAGAGAGAGGAGGGAGGAAGATGCAGGGGGGTCGTGGTGTGTAGCACACCTCTTGGGGGTGGGACACAGTTATAAGAGGGACTCTATCTAACAAATGAAATCAATATAATCTAATTCTTTGTACCCTCAATGAATCCCAAACAATTAAAAAAAAAGCATTGTGAATAGACAAAAAGTATTCCTAATTTAACGTATTGCTTTATAAATGTGATTTAAAATATGAATAAATAAATCAATGAATAATTATGCAATATTAATAAAAACTTTAGATTTCATCTCAATCCTAAAAAAAAAGTTTTTTTCCCCTTTGAGAATTTTGTTGCCTCCCTCTGCATTCACCTTATTCATATAATACATGGTAGAACACTTTTTTTTTTTTCTTTTTGAGACAGAATCTCAAGCTGTCCCCCTGGGTAGAGTGCTGTGGCATCACAAGTCACAGCAACCCCCAACTCCTGGGCTCAAGCAAGTCTCCTGCCTCAGCCTCCCAAGTAGCTGAGACCACAGGTACCCGCCACAACACCCAGCTATTTTTTGGTTGTAGCCATCATTGTTGTTTGGCAGGCCTGGGCTGGATTCGAATCTGCCACCTTAGGTGTATGTGGCTGGTGCCTTAGCCACTTGAGCCACAGGCGCCGCACTGAACACATTTTAAAGTATATAAATTTTAAATGGTTAAATGGTTAAAGACTAGTATATTTAGGAAGTTACAGAATGCTTTGGGGCATTTGTTTCAAAACCCTCTCTGTGGTTATTTCCTATTTTTAGTTATAGTCTGATTTAAATCTGCTCTGAGAGATTTTATTTTTTTAGCTATCTGTCTTGAAGCTAGTTGCTTATTGGCCTTGATTTCCTTTTCTGGGAAGTTGAATAATAGTATAATACCAAACTCAAGAATGTACATCCCATAAGAAGTTATGAGTTTTATACCAAGTCCAAGACTTCATAATGGTTCTTTAATACATGATAGGTGATAATTGTAAATGTTAATGTGTTAAATAAGGAAGGAAATATTGTCTGGAGTAATGCAGAGGAACTCATGTTTTGATCCAAGAGTTCTTATAGTCCTTTAAGTTCTTACTCATGAAAAGTTAGAGGAAAATAAAAAATGAAGTGGGAAACATCATGTTATCTCGTCTTGCCAACTGGTTATTTTTAAGTGAAACTTTATATACATAAAGAATTTTTTTGTTCTTAACTGTATATATATAGGGATGGTCCATTTTATGAATTGAGAAGTTTGGCTTGTCAGCTAAAAATGATGAGATTCTTAAGTTTGGAAGGGGCACTTTATTTTGTATAAAGGATTGCAGCCTATTGAGTGGCCGTTCTGACAGCCTGGGAAGCAGAGCTTCTGCCCAGAAGAGAATACACATATGACACTTGGATGGGATGGTACAGGGAATAGGAATTTATGCTGAGTGGGTTGTTTTAGCAAAAATACATATTTAACAAGCTATAGGAGGAGGCATGAATATTTATGAAAGGAGGAGCATGCATTGAGCTTCAGTTGTGCTTCTTGTTGTTTGGTGGGATCCATGTGCAGAGAATGGCAAAATTAGCATGATCCTAGGGTGGAATTTTTTGCCCTCAAGCCAAAAGGTTAAGTAGAGGACATGCAGACTTTCCCTGTGTGCCCTCGTAGACAAGCCGGAATTGCTCTGTGGTTGATGGCACTTTCAGGAATGAATGCTGGTCAGTTGTAGTGTTGAGACTGCAAAAAAGAAAAAGCAGCGTTAGGTGGTGGATGGAAGCAGTGGTGATGAAGTCTTTTCAAAAGGCTGGTTCTGTCTAGCTGGAGGGAAGAAAGCCTAAGCCCCGTGAGGGAGGGTTATGCTGAGGAGTGTCTGACCTCTCATCCTGTCATGGTGGGAACTTAAGTTTTAAGGTTTCTCTTGGATCCCCTTGGCCAAGAGGAGATCCTTTCAATGTGTTGGTGGGAAGGGTTTAGGATTTTATTTTCATTTCTTGGATGGAATTTAAAAGCCGTGTTTAGTGACATAAATGTTGTATCCACCATAAATAAAAGTAGAACAAACTAAAGATTAAAATTTTTTTAACCTTTTTTCCTGTCTAAAAGGTGATTGCAGTATTTTGTTTTCATTGCATCACTGCTAAGCAGAATTTCAAGTATCTTTTCTTACATGATGTGTGCAAGAAGTGTCAAGGGTATGCAGTTTTGTCTTGTTTGAACCTTTTAAGCCATCATTAGTTTATGGATATTTGAAAATGTTGAAATAGAACATGGAAATCTTTTAAAAATACACACACACATCTTTAAAATTATGTATACTATACTTGTCAGTTTGAACATGAATTTCAAAAAGGTTTTCCCTCCAGAGGAAATATTTCACGTATGTGAAACAAAATGACTTTAGTTTAATACATTGCCTTCCAAATTTCCAGCAAGACTGTAAGCGCATATTTTGATAGTTTTATATTTAGAGTTTATTTTCCTCTTTTGAAAGGAATTTATAGGAAATCAGTAAATTTTTTTTGAGACAGTGGTGTCGCACCTCACAGCAACCTCAAACTCTTGGGCTCAAGAGATCCTTTGGCCTCAGCTTCCTGAGGAGCAAGCGCCCACTACAATACCCAGCTATTTTTAGTACAGGGGTTCTGGTTCTTGCTCAGGCTGGTCTCGAACTCCTGAACTCAGGCAGTCCTTGGCCTCTCAGGAGTGTTAGGATTATAGTTGTGAGCCACTGCACCCAGCCCCAGAAATCATTAATTTTAATCCGCATGGAATTTTTACTTAGGCAGATTGTCTCCTCAGATAGCTGGGTCATTTAAACCTATAAGTGCAGTGCAGACAAATGTATGTTTGTCAGAACTGTTCTGAAATTTTTGTTAATTTGATCAAACTTTGATAATATGACTCGGAAAGGTCCCAATTTGTCAGCTTCTACTTTCTTACTGTTATAATAAGATGAAAAAACAACACGAAAACATGAGCACTTACATTTTTTGGTTTTTAAAATATGTAACACATTATTTACCATATTAACTACTGTAGAACCTCCATAGTTGACCACCTCCCTATGATTGACTACCTCCTTTGGTTGACCTGATTTTCATAGACCAGACCTGCACCATATGTACATGTCAGTACAGTAGGCCTAGTTTCTTATGTTGCCTACCTCTGCATGTTGACAAGTTTGTTATATTCCTTTGAGTAACTGACTTACAGAAGTTCTAGTATATTTTTATGCATACAGTTCAGCAACATTAAGTACATTTATGTTGTTGTGAAGCCATTGTCATCATCTCCAGAACTTTTTCATCTTTCAAAACTGAAACTCCTTAAACACTAACACCACCTCTGAGCCTCTGGAACTTACTGATCTAATTTCTGTCTCTGAAAGGACAGAAAGGAGCATGTAGATATTTAAACTCAAATTTGAACTCCCCTCAGAGAAATAATGAATTTTGAGGGATGAAATACAGAAGATGAATTCTCAGTTTGGAAGGAAAATCATAGATTTTATTGCATGCAAAATACAAACTTGAATTTAGGTTGCTGCTTTTTTTTTTTGAGACAGAGTTTAACTTTGTCACCCTTGGTATAGAGTGCTATGGTGTCATAGCTCACAGCAACCTCAAACTCTTGGGCTTAAGCAATTCTCTTGTCTCAGCCTCCCAAGTAGCTGGGACAACAGGTGCCCAGCACGACGGCTGGCTATTTTTTTGTTGCAGTTGTCGTCGTTTAACTGGCCTGGGCTGGGTTCAAATCCACCAGCCACAGTGTATATGGCCAGTGCCCTACCCACTGAGCTACAGGCGCCGCCCTAGGTTGTTGCTTTTGGATCTTACAAGGAGATCTGTTGAAGCAGATCTCCTTGTAAATGTAGTGCTTTCAGAAGGATGTGATTGAGGGGAAAGGGATATACATAAAACACTTAGCATACCCAGAGTTTTAGAGACATATCTGAATCTTAGAACTATCCTGAGTTTTCTGCTAGTTGGCTGTATTTTGGATAACATGATGTTACCTGGCTCTGTGAAAGTAAATTTAGTTCTCTTTCCTGAAACACAGAAATCAGTGCTTAGGGCCTTCTTCAGTGACACACATGGTGAGTTCTTCAAAATAATAAAAATCAGTGAAAGAGAAGCATTTAAAACTACTTGGTTAAAATTAATTAGAAGAGTAGTTGGTCTTTAACTGTGCTCTTTAGTAGATACGGTATGGAAAAAACTATCAGTTGTTGTTTTGTACTATGTATGTATCCCTTGCAGTGAAGTTCTCTGCTTTAAAAAAAAAACAAACAAAAACGAAACAAGAAAGACCAAACAATTGTCTGAGGGTTGTTCCAGCTTCTATGTCTTTCTTCCTTTTGTGCTGGCTTAGCAGTACATTTAGAAATGCCTTTTCAGCACTTTATTCATTATCCTGGTTGTTGTAGTTGGGACTGTTGTTCAGTTTGTCTAGCCTGCACTGGAATGGGAATTTTAATGTATTTTTTTTCTAGTCTAGATCCTCAGGATCCATCCCCTCCCCTATTTTGAATTTCTTATAGCATACATATTAAAGTTTTTTTATAAAGCTGAACATGAAATTAAAATAATTTTGGGGGGTTCTTTTTAAAATTTCAGATTAATGTGAGGGCACAAACAACTAGGTTACAATGTTTGCATTCATTAGGTAGAGTCCCTAGAAATTAAAGTAATTTTAAAGTAATTATTGTATTTTTAAAATACCTGTGTATTTATTTTATAGCTCCTTGAAGGAAATTTTGCCAAAGAAGTCAGCCATGAAATGGATGGACTTATTTTTCAACCTACAGGAGTAAGTTCATTTGTATGTGTGTGCACGTGTGTGTGTGTATGTGGCTATCTGTATTACATAATATACGTATGTTCTTGTATATTTAAAGTATATTTACCTCAGATGTATTTAGTTAGAATTGATTACTGCTGCTATCACTGCCTTTCCTTAAAACAAATAGCACTTTAGGAAAGGTGTTTTATTTATATTTAAATACGTAATACTAAAATGAATACCTGTTAGCTTTTTACTCAGCTTAAGAAGTAAACACTGTTGGTGATTACTTTTCAAGAAAGTTAGTTTTTTAATGTATCTTTCATACAATTTGTGCAAAATGATTGTCAATTTGTTTCTTTACTAGAAATTTACCAATTATGTATATAAATGCTTATTTCCTTTTCTAGCCTGGTATACCTTTAAGGATTAATATCTCTAAAACTTCATTTTGCTATAGGAGTTGTCAATCTTGCAGAAAAATGGAATTTTTGAATATTCCATGTTGAATTTCTAAAATGCACTAAAGAACTTTGACCTACTTACTGGTCAGATCATATATTTGGAGTAAGTTGTCTTAGCCTCTGGCAAGTTTTCTCAGCAGTGTTGATGTTTCAGGGCAGATACTTCTTTTCTGTGGGAGCTGTCCTGTGCGTGGGAGGATGTTGAGTAGCATCCTTGGGTTCTACTCACTGCTTATCAGTAGTTCCCCTCCTCCCAGTTGTGACAACTAAAAATATACCCAGACATTTCTTACTTTCCTCTGTAGAGCAAAGTTACTCTCACTGGTTAATCACTGTTCGGTGGGGCAGTGTTTTTCAAAATGTGGCCCATTGAGGAGAATTAGTTCCTACCCAGGAACTTATGGGTGGTGACTGTATAACTATAAATGCAATTCACTCAGACCTACTGTTTAGAAATTCTGGTGATGAAGTCTAGCAGTTTGTGTTTTAACAAACTCTGCAAGTGATTCTGATGCATATTCAAGTATGAGAACCACTTACATACTATAGGAAAGAGTATTTCACATGTGATCACCCTGTCAAATGCTGCTTTTTGCCTTCACTAACTCTATTTTTAGAAATTAGGATACGAACTAGTTGAAAAGTTATACATGCATATAGACACAACGAATGGGATACCTAGAGGAAAGGGAAGGGAACTAATACTCCAAACACTGTGATAAACCCTATATGAATTGTCTCTAATCTGAGAATCCACAATCTGAATTGTTCCAACATCTGAAACTTTTTGAGTGCTGACATGATGCTTAAATGAAATGCTCATTGGAGCATTTTGGGTTTGGCATTTTCTGACTAGGAATGCTCTACTGATAAGTATATGTAACGCAAATATTACAAATTCTGAAAAAAATTCAAGTCCAAAACACTTCTGGTCCCCAATCTTTGGATAAGGGATAATAAGCCTCATTGCCCAAGCTTTACATCTATAACAAAACTCTGCTGTAGTGTAAATTTGGTCCAGTGTGATATGCTGTTGGTTTTTGTCTTCCAACCCCTCTTGGTAAACAGAAAAAAAAAATCTGTGGTTGACGGAGGAGGAGATAGACAAGAGCTCTAGACAGAAATTGTAGAAAATGCTATCATAGAAAGATGGAAATTAGATCTTTGAATTCTAATATTTTCTAGGCCCCATCTCCCTAGATTGAAGGAAGTAAAGTCTAGATATAACACTTAATTCAGAAAATTTTAGCTGTGAGACTTATGGTTCAGACCTGCGCATATATGCAATTTTGGTATATGTAAAAAAAATCGCCCAACAAATAACTATTGGCCCATCCAACAACTATACCGGCTGTCTAATGTAGTTGTTTGTCAGTCTATTCCCGTTCTAGTAACCACAGTTTTCATTATAATGACTTTGATACATGGCAAGGTAGGTTTCTCTGTTTGGCAGGATTTTCCTAATATTTGTGGACATGTGGTTAAACATGTACGTTTTAGCATCAGTTTGTCATGTTACCCAGAATTTATTGTTAAGAGTTTATTTGGAATGGCTTCGAATTTAGATTAATTTGGAGAAAATTGATTTGCTTAACAATGTATGTTATTTTTTTTCAGGTCTTTTTCTGTCTCTAATCAAATTTTTGTTTTTTAATTGTTAACAAATTACTAGATATTTACAATTTTCTGCTTTTATACTAAATGTTTTTTTCCCCCTATTTCAAATATACTGCCACATTATAGATTTTATTGATTTGGCAGTTTTGCTGAATATTCTTAGTTCTAATAATTGTCTTATTTTATATATTGACCAGGACCTTTAGCACTGAATTTTTAGTTGGCTAAAAATTTAGTTGTTGAAAATCGTATTTGCTAAATTTTATTCATTAAGTATATTTGTGGTAGATTTCTGCTAGATAACTTTTATTGTGTTGAGAAATTTTTGCTCTATTTCTCTTGAAATTATTTTCTTTAATCATAAAGATTTGAGCATTAACCCCATTTTTTATTTCTTTAATTTTTTTTTTTTTTTTTTTTTTTTTGAGACAGAGTCTCATTCTTTTGCCAAAGCTGAAGTACCATGGTGTCAGCCTACATTGTGGCAACCTCAAAGCTCTGGGTTCAAGCCATCATTCTGCCTCAGCCTCCTGAGTAGCTGGGACTATAGGTGCCCACCACAATACCTGGATACTTATTGTAGACACGGGGTCTTGCTCTTTCTCAGGCTAGTCTCAAACTCCTGAGCTTAATTGATCCTCCTGCCTCAGCCTCCTAGAGTGCAAGGATTACAGGTGTGAGCCACTCTGCCTGGCTAACCTTTAACTCCATTTAAGGTGTTAATTTTAAGGCATTAATGCGTCTTATGTATCTATTAAGAGTATCATGCCATTCTCTTTTCTACACTATTTCTGTAGTAAATTACACTGATTGTTTTTCAAGTTGACCCATTCTTACATTCCTGGGATAGATGCTACTTAATTATGACATACGAGGTTAGACCATTTAGTTTGCAAACTTAGCCTGGAAAAAGCACTACATATCTCTTTATGAATATCACTATAGTCACCTTATGATTAACTTTGTGAACTCATCCTACCCACCTCATTGTGGAATATCATTACAGTCGCCTTTGAAGTCTTCTGCTTGGGAAGCTATGTATCTACTCTGCCTTTTAGAGCACCTTTTCTAGGATGAGGTGCAATGCACAACTTCCCAAGGGAAGTTCTTTCTAAGGTGATGGTAGTGATATTCAGCAATAAGGTGTATAGCACTTTTTCTAGGATGAGTTCATGCACTTAATTGTCTGACCTTGTATATAATTTTTTTTTGGTAGAGACAGAGTCTCACTTTATTGCCCTTAGTAGAGTGCCATGGCATCACACAACTCACAGCAACTTCCAACTCCTGGGCTTAGGTGATTCTCTTGTCTCAGCCTCCCAAGAAGCTGGGATTACAGGCACCCACCAGAACACCTGGCTATTTTTTGTTGCGATTTGACCAGCTCTGGGTTTGAACCTGCCACCCTTGGTATATGGGGCTGGCGCCCTACCCACTGAGCCACAGGCACTGCCCTGTATATAATTTTTTAAGTATATACCCTGGTCTGTGTGTCTCTGTCCAGTGCCTCATCCGTCTTCCCTTACAGGCTTCTCGCTTACCTGTTGTTTGCATTCCCTGCCTCTTAACGGGGCATTGCAGCGTGCAGCAGGGTGGCTTGCCTTAGCATCCTTCTGTGCAGGCACTGAGGGTTTGCATTCCTCATGCCATGCTCCGCTCACTTCTGCGTCTGCTCACCTTGTCCCGCGTCTGCTCTCCTTGTCCCG